CATCTGTGGTGAATGTGCTTCAAATGATTGTTGATGATAATCCTAATGATAGTTCGGGTGAAGCCTATAAGTTATGGAGAGAAATACAATCTTTTGAGTTTGTGTTTCACTTATTTTTAATGAAAGCTATATTGGGAATAACAAACACTTTGTCTCTAGCATTGCAAAAGAAAGATCAAGACATTGTGAGTGCAATGAGTTTAGTGACAACATGCAAGGAAAACCTGCAGTTCATGAGGGATAATGAGTTTGAAGAATTGGTTGAGCAAGCATCTTTGTTTTGTTACAAACATGATATTATAGTTCCTACCATGGATGAGGAATATGTAATTCCAGGGAGGTCACGGCGTAATGCTCCAATGAAGACAAATTATCATCGTTATCGTGTGGAGATGTTTATTCATGTAATTGATGGACAACTTGTGGAACTAAATGATCGCTTCAACGAGGTAAGTACTGAGTTACTTACTTGTTTGGCATGCTTGAGTCCGAAAAATAACTTTGTAGCTTTTGACAAACGAAAGCTAGTTCGTCTTGCTCAATTTTATCCTTATGATTTTTCGGATAGAGACTTATTGATGCTTGAAGATCAACTTGGTGTTTATGTTCATCATATGCGTTCGAGTACTGATTTTTCTCAATTGGAAGGGATTAGTAGTCTTGCGGAAAAAATGGTGGAGAAAGGAATGCATGAAATATTTCCTTATGTGTATTTGCTTCTTACATTGGCTTTGGTTTTACCGGTTGCAACTGCTTCAGTGGAGAGAGCATTTTCCGCCATGAATATTATTAAAAATCCACTTCGCAACAGAATGGGAGATCAATGGTTGAATGATAGCTTGATTGTTTACATTGAGAGAGATGTTTTTGCTTGTATTGATAACGAAACTATAATGCAACGTTTTCAGAATATGAAAACTCGTCGTGGACAATTGTAATTTGTATTATTGGTTTTGTTATGAATTATGAATGGAAGTACTATCTTTCTATCTTTTTAGCATTATTTTCTTTGTAGAAAAATTTCAGAACTTTTACACTAAGCCCCCTTGGCCACATAATCCTGGATCCGCCACTGGGGGTAGGAGTGAAAATGATATGTTCATTGACGTATCCCCATTACCTTGACGTATAAAGATTTTGTACATTTCTTAGCTCCAACGACCCATTCTCTTTAGAGGGAGAGGGGGAATGAAGAGAAGTTTTCATTGAATTAGAAGGAATTCTCCTTTGTCGTTGTCGATGTTGTTGATGTGTTTCGATCCGTCTATACAACATAAAAAAACCCTAACCTTTACCTATTTTTGCTGCACTATATACCTAGCCTATAATCCTAGCCTGTCGCCATTGTCTACCTTGTCATCGTCGCCGTCGTCTACCTTGTTACTTCCGCCGCTGCCTCCACCCCGTCATTCATCACCATGCCGAATGTTGATGCCTTTATTTCTTCACCTACTTATGTTTATATTTCACCTACTACTTCTCTTACCCTTATAGTGACAGTTCATATTGAATCGAATCATATGCTACTTCACAAGGATAATTGGGTTACCTAACTAGTGACTTTGATGCCCCATATTCCAAAGATCCACAAGTTGGAAAGTGAAAAATTGTTGATGTTATTGTAAAAAGTTGGATGTTGCGCACTATGAAACTTAGTTTGTTGAATATGTTTCATACTTACCTATTGTTATACTCACATGGTTTCTGTGTTCTGCTTTTATGTGTTGTGCTATGTGCCCTATTTGTTAAGGTTTGCTTTTATGTTTTTGCTGCAAACTTTGATTTGGTTTGTCAATTGTTTTTACTCATAGTTTGCAACAAGACATTCTCATGTGACATTCTTTACAGTTGTTCGATTATGTTGATATTGAGTATGGTGTTCTATGACTCGCTTGTTAAGTTGGGCACGTGAAACATCTTTGTGCCAACAGTGACATAAGAGTAATTTCATGTTACTGTCAAACTTCAATGTTACTGTGGGACAATGGCATCATAATAATTTCATATCACTGTCGGATTAGACCTCTCCCAATGAATATAAGTATATGCTGACGAATTTCATTAAGAGAGGTTATTTTTTCTTTAAAAAAAATATATAATCAGTTTATTTGCTTTATTTTTTTTGCAACTTCTTTAGTTTAATATATGAAATTAAATAATATCTTATCCTTCTTTAGTTCATGAAATAATTTAAAATAATTAATTACTACTTGTAAACTAATTTATGAAATTATTTAAAATATTTAAATACTAATTATTCACTAAATATCAGGTATTTCAATTGTTGTTTGATATTACAAGTTATTCCTTCCACTTGAATGATCAACATGTCATTTTTATCTTGTTTCTTGTTTCAAGTATAGTTGTACGTATTTTTTAATAATATATCCGTGTTCTACACACGTCTTAAAGACTTGGCAAAGTTAATGTTTTTAAAAAAGCAATGTACAATACTCGTATTATATAGGTACATACGTATTTTCATGTTTAATACATGTATTTATTACAAATATTTCAATAAGATACACAAAATTCATATATTATACACATAATTCTCACATATTATTGAATGAAAATAATATAGTAGTTGAACATTTAAGTTGTAATTTGCCAAAATTTTGCCGAATAAAACACATACGTATTTTATTCACATTTTTCCAATTATGTATTTTACTAACTATGAATGAATGTATAGCCATGCGACTATACTCCGTTTTTTACCTATACTCATTGTTCATTAATTTTAAAAATTTTAAATAGTACAGCCGTGCGGCTATACTAGATTTTTTAATTATCGTATAGCCGCATGGCTATACAATTTTTCTCTAATTTTTCTTATAAAAAAATCGTATGGCCATGCTGCTTTACTATTTTTGACATGTGGCGCCTAGTCGTTAGGCGGGTCCTTTAAAAATATATATATATATATATATAAATAGTATAATCGAGTGGCTATACCCTGTTTTTTAAAAATTTTGTTTAAAAATAGTATAGCCTCGATGCTATACGCGGTTTTATTAATGTTTCTAAAAATAATCGTATAGCCACGCGACGATACTTATTTTGATTTATAAACACCACGCGGCTATACTCTATAAATATATTTGTTCAGCAAAATATTTTACATTAACTTCTATTCAAATTGTGCCGGCAAAAATTTATCGGATTTAAAAAATAGTATAGCAGCGTGGCTTTACATGTTTGACACGTTGTACCTAGGCGCTAGGAAGGTCTTTTTTAATATATATATATATATATATATATACAATCCCCTTCTATTGAGGGATCCCTCAAATAATTTTATTTAAGGGACGCCCTTTAGGGTACCCTACAATTTTTTTTTCAATGATCAAAACCATCTATTTTTTAGGTCTTCATTCATAGATCATCCTTACAAAAAATTAGACAAATCGGAAACCGTTTCGACATC